AAGTGAAATAGTGAGCTCTTGATTGATTATAAAGAAATATGGGGAGTACGAAAAATGTGATTGAATAACTATATGTACAATTATTTTTATAATGTGAAGAGCTTGAAGCGCGTGCATTTTGATAGATGTCAACATCTAATTGGTCATTAGTATATGCATTCACAAATGAAATTGACCATGATTATTTGAAATTATTGATGAAATGAATTGTACATTGACTTGCGGTCATCACACATAAAGTTGTGAAAGTTTTTAGTGCAAAAGTGGGTAAAATCATTGCGGTAAATTTGAATGCCTTTTGAAAATATATTTTTATGATGCAATCACTTTATGATGGTATTCAAAATACTTGACATGCATCATATGGATGCAATTACCGCATATCTATATGGATCATAAAATTAATGAAGAATTGATAATGTGTTGTGCATATAATCAGAGGTCTCGTGAGTTAGACTCTAGAAATGATCCATTTACATATTATCTTCAAAATATGGTACATTCACCTCAGTAAATACCTTGTTAATGATCAAATAATTTGACTTACCATTATCATGGTATAGATGTGAATGATCTAAATCTTGTGGAGACTCACGAAGAGCTCACAAAGACGGTCAATTATTTGGTGACATAATTTGAGATGAAAAATCTTGGAAGGGCAAAATTTATCTGCAAAAAAAAATCTATTAAATGGAATCTTTATCCATTAATACAAATAAGAAATGGATATGACTCATCTATTGAGGGATATTATGTTTGTCCAATCATTGGACATAATTGAAGATCTTTTAAGCCCTCAAGAAAATAATGAAAGAATTACAATTTGCAAAAGTGTAAAATGTGTATTACACTATCTTTATGGAAAATTCCATGGATCTTAAAGCGGATATAGTTGGTTATATCAAAGTCAAACAATAAATTATCATATTCATTTATCGGAGTATTGCCAACTACTTCATTGAGAAGATGATTAAAAGTCATATGTCGAAATCAGGGGAGCATGAACACTACTTATAAAAATACTGTATTGTTTTTCCTTCGACCAAGTTTTTGTCCCAGTGGGTTTTTCTTGACAAGATTTTAACGAGGCAGTGTCACGCTCGCAAGTTTCACATGGATATGTACTCTTTTCTCCTTCGATTAGTTTTTGTCCCAATGGGTTTTCCTAACAAGGTTTTTAACGAGACATATTCCATACATGGTGGACATCCAAGGGGGAGTGTTATGAATTCTTAAATGTGTGGATGACCACCATTACTCCCACCACTACTCCCACCATTTACTCACCATTATAGGCTCATAATTCCTTGTAACTCACGACCTTTCATGGTCTTACTTGTACTATATATAGTGCTTCATTGTATTGAATTGGACACACAAGAAGAACAAGAGAATAATATATTTGTTTCTCTCTATATTACTATATCAATTCATCTTTGTTTTTTTCTTCTTTATTAGTTTCTCAATAACTTCTTTTAATTTTTTTTTTGGCACATATCTTTGACATTATGTTTTGTTTAATTAAATGTTTAGTTCTTTTTTATATATATTTTTAATTTTTAATATGTTTTATATGTTTCTAATTTTTAATAATTATTAAAATAAAGAGTGATGTAGTATATTTGTTTTTAGGGTAAATTACAAATACCTTCTTGAGGTATGGTCAATTTACGAAAAAGCTCCTCTTGTTTGGATAATTACATCTACTCCCCTCAACTATGATTTTTTTCTTACATCTCCACTCTTATGGTGTCAAATTCAACATAATCATGTAGATTTTGTGGAATGCGCTCTAGTTTGTACTCATTTTGTGTAAAAATACAGTTTCTGATGCACCACAATCTGATATATACAAGCCAAAAAACACATATTATGATCATCTTACTTCAAAATGTGGAGTTCGAATGGGATAAAACGGATACAAAAGTGATAATATTCTATATAATCTCGAAGATTCCACTAAATTTGAAACCGCAAGGGTGGACATGTAAGAAGATTTGTAGTTGAGGGGTGGTTGTAATTACCCAAACAAGAGGGGGGGTTTTGTAATTTAACCACAGCTCAGGGGTGATTGTAATTTACCCTTTATTTAATGATCAATTTCATATTATAACAATTAAGTTAATATATTTTTTTTTCGGAATCAGTTTGTATTATCAAATTTGTATAACTGATGATATCACTAATAAATTTTATTATAATTATTATTGTCATGCATTAAACTAATCATTATTTTCACTTTTGAAATGTTATCCGGTGGGGAAAAATGTTAGTCTACATAATAAGGGAGTTATTGAATTTTCCCCAATATTAATTCTCTCATAAATATAATTAATCCAATCGAAACATTGTATATATATATATATATATATATATATATATATATATATATATATATTCTTTTTTTTCTTAATTTTTTGTGACAACGATCTGCTCCATGTGATTAAAATTTTCTCCTATATAAAAGACATAAAATTAAAAAAAATAATAATAATATCTTTAAATTTAGGGTATCTACCACAGAACCATGATGTCTTGTCTTGTGTACCATGTTTAACTGGAAAAATAAAAAAGAAGATAAGAGAAAACTACACAGTTTTGCTCAGAAATGAGCTTCTCTTTGAGTTCACAAATCCCCAAGGCTTTGCCTTCTCTCTCTCCTTCCCACCAAATCCAATGCAGAATTCATCTTCCCTCCATTTCTTGTCAACTAAAACAATCCCACTCTAAAAAATTACTTCAGGTTTCATATGTATCATATATCTTTATTGTTTATGCATATTTTTCAACGAGGAAGTATTCTTGTATACGAATTTCACGCAATCTTTTGAATGACAGGCATGCACGAGCATTCAAGATTTCGGAACCGATGTTCTTGGTTTGGCTGTACGAGTTGGAGGAGTTTTGGCTATTGTATGATGATTGCCTACTTGCTATAAAAATCTAGCTCCAAAATCTATTTATCGTGTTTCGATGATTTAATTTAGAGGGCTTCGATTTAATTTTCTTGAAATATTAATTATAGATGTGAACAGGTTGCAGGACCTGCTTTGGCTGAGACAGGTGAAATGGAAGGAGAAGATCTGCTTTGGATTTTGACTCAATCGGGAATTGCTGCTTTCTTTTACTTCCTCGTCGTGCCGGTAATTAGTATTGATTTCTCTAAGATAATTGGTTTTGTTGGATTGAGTTTATGCAATTTTTTTTGTTTTTCTTTTTTGCAGCCCTTTCTTATGAATTGGCTTAGAACCAGATGGTACAAGAGAAACCTACTCGAAATGTATGTGCAGTTCATGTTTGTTTTCTTGTTCTTCCCGGGGTAAGTTTGCCGGCTCCCTCTTTGCTCGATTATTTTGCAGCTTTCTTGAAAAATGTATGGATCGACTAAATACGCATTTTTATTTTATATTTATTTATTTGTTTGTGTGGGCAGGGTGTTGCTTTGGGCACCATTTCTGAACTTCAGAAAGTTCCCGAGAGATCCGTCGATGAAGTACCCTTGGTCCGTACCTGAAAACCCTTCTGAGATTAAGGGTGGATACTTGAAGTTTCCTTGGGCGAAACCCGAGGATTATGATTTATTTACCTAATGCAACAACATACAATTTGTTTCCTTGTTCAATATGTAAAGCAAATCAAGAAGTGGATTCTATAGTCCAACTTTCAATTACCTGTATCTATAAAGTGTTTGCAGCTTACTGTCAAACTAATTCATCAAGGCAGAAAACTTATTATGCTAACCTATTTGTGTACACTACCAACAAATACAATGCAAAAGCGAAGCCCGGCGAAATAAAAACTGCAAAGACAGAACGATGTCTCCAATGGAACCTTTGGCTAAAATCTCTATTTGATGGTGAAAAAAAGAACCAAGTATATCAATCTATGTGAACTCATTTTCCAAAACCCGTAAAGATCGGCGCAGAATTACATCAAGATTACATTTAACCTAAACCAAGAAAAACAATGGGAATGAAAAAAGGCACAACTTCCCAATAAATTACATGCTAATAAACTTCCCAATAGTCTTTTTAATCCCAAAAAAACAAAAGAAAAAAATAAATAAACAGAAGGAAATTAAGACTTCCCAATAGTTTACTTGCATAAAACAACCATTACACGAGGGCCTAGGGCTCTTCTGCCATTTAACTTTAGGCGATTGATGTTAGTTTTGCTCTGGTTGAGTGAAATTTTAAGAAACCTGCACGTTAAATTTGGCTTGATTATATGGCTTAAGTATTGAATACGGCTGACAACTTATCCCAGTCCCATGCATCCAAGCTTGGGTACACAACGGCAGCTCCCACACCGGCGGCAGTCAACACCAAAATGAAGGCCATAGTTTTTGCACAACCACCACCACGGGATACCCTACCCAATATTGCTTTACAATATTTATCAGCATCTTTAAAGTAAGTTTGACGAGCAGCATCTACTCCTTCACTTAATTCTTTCTCATTCTGTAATAGAACAGACAATCAAGATAAGATATACGGCTTAAGAAGAAACCCAGCTTATGGGGAGAAAATGGAATATATATATATATATATATATATATATATATATATATATATATATATATATATATATATATATATATATATATATAATGTCTCCCTTTTGCCTGAAACTCTTGAGAGTCTCTCCAAGTGCTGGATAAGAAGACTGTTTTAAAGAAATTCTCTTCCACTCCTCGGAAAGCTTCCTCAACGTAGCAACACTCGCCTCTATGTTATCCACATAGATCTTGTCCTGTCAAATGAATTATACAACATCACAACTGCGCCTCAAAAGTGAACCCTATATAAACTGCCCCAAAGGGGCAACGACAATATGAACATTCGAAGGCAGAAAATTGCACACGAATGAGATTAGAAAGCACAAGGATCGAAACCCTGTAGTTTCTTCTCAAACAAAAGGATTGGGAGGGGAAATGTATACTAAATAAATTACACCTTCATTTTTGTCGCACTAAGTTTCAAGAGATAACCTTATCAAGTAGCAGTGCACATGTAACTTACTAGGACTACATTCTTATTGTGAGACTATAACATATTCGGAAAAGAAAATTTTACGAATGAAGATGCACATTGCCAACTAAAACTTACCCACTGCTTGTAGCAATCGGAATTCTGGGACAGGCACCATATGAAGATGTTTGTTGCTTCCTGCGATAGTGCTGGAATCCCTGCAAAGAACCAGTTTGTCAAATATCTAATTAAGAAATAAATTAAATAGTTAGATATCACTTTCAATTCATCGTTACCTTCTCCAGCTGCTTTAACAACCACAGTCTGTATCTGAAGTGATACTTGCTTCATCCCTTTGCTTCCAGGAGAACCCGCAAGAGCAACCTCTTTGAGAACAGGGTAAATTGCCTCGAATCTTTCTGTAGCCTATCACAGAATACTGGTTCAGAGAAAAGGAATATATAGAACGGATTGCAGAACTAGAATGAATATTATAATGGAAGTCTCTCACCTTAACTCTTGCAGAAGATGAAGGAAATGTTACACGTAGCAGTAGATCAAGTGCTGAAGGTGGCATCAACCTCTCCCCCTTCCTAACAGCACTATTAAGCAATATACCACGAGCTTTGGGTACAGCCAGAATTCTGATGAATAAATAAGTTTATTTTGTAAATTAAATTGAAAATTAACCACCACAGAGCCCAGCGATCCAGAAAAAAGATATAGGATTTAAACCTTTCAACTAGCTGCAAGACCAAGTCCCTGGATTGTGGATTAGAGCCTGATTTTCCTCCAAGTATTGGTAAAATATGATGTGCCCATACGTACAATGCTACAGCTAGATCTCCTACACAGGCCTACACAAAAAGGTTCAGCATCATCTAGCAATAAAATTCAAGCAGCAAGTAGCAGAAAGATCAAATTGTTTCTATAATCCGAGTTGATGCTGAAGAGTATAAGGAAATATGGTTTACCTGGACAATCATCCATGCAAGAACTGGGAGCTTATCTTGTCCTTGGTACTTCGAGTTTTCCCTCAACTTTGGCAATAAATTAACTAATACGTCTGGTTTACGACGTAATACCATTGCCGAAACTACAAAAATTGCAACCTGCAATATCAACAATTAAAAATTGGTACCAGACTAGTAGCCAAGAAGAAATTTTAAAAAATGGATCAACAAGCATTATAATTTGCATAGGAAAACAAGTAAACTGACAAACTAACCGATGAATCTAGGAAAGGCGATACAAAGAAGTAATATATCATGAAGTAATTGTGGTCGTTGGTTTTATAAAGTCAAAATAAAACAGAATTTAAGTTGTCACCTTTCAATTACAAGAAGCACTAAAAGAAATAATATGGGGGAGCATCAAGTGTATCTATCTACCTGAGCCTTTGAAGATGCTGGCTGCCCTCCTTTCTTTGAGCTCTTGGACCCCGGCTGTTGTGTTGCCATGTCAGCCAGAATGCCATCCAACGACCACAACACAAACTTGTCCAATGCCTCAGAGGAACATTGGTTGATCCAGTCAACCGAAGTCTTATAGACAGACTCGGAAATATGAGAAAGAGGGATCTGTTCATTGGAAATAATCCAATTAGCAGACTCACACTATGCACCAAAGTAAAATAGCCAAAACAAAATGAAGCCTAAGATACCCAAATATGAAACAGATATATACGACAATAAAGGTTTAATTCGCACACAAGCAAGAATTATAGCCAGGGTATTTATGGTCAGATCTTTTATCATTTTTAGATGCCTCGTGCATTAAAATAACTAGAAAATGCTTTCATACATTTCTGTTCCAAAAGCAAAATGAATCCTAATGTAAAAGATGGAATTTTTACTGAGGAAAATGTATCATGAAGACGCATCAGGTACAGAGTAACATATTGGAACTTTTACAGGATTCTCATTAAACGAAAACCACCCCACAACAATATCTCCAAAGAAATACAACGTTCAGCTCGTAGCAAAGCTAACTAAATCATAAGAATTCATCTAATAGCCCTTTCTTTTTAATATGAATACAACCAGTGTAAGATGCTAAATGATTCTTTTTTAATCTCTAAAATGTGTTACAATCGCATTTAGATCATTATAAAATAAAAATGTATGATCATATAAACTATTTAAACAATGCTATATAATTTATTGAAATGGAAATACTGGAAACTAGTACATAAAAGCGTGACCAACTCACATCAGCAATTTTTGCCAGTGGAGACTCTCTGAACAATTTCAGCCACGGAAACTGAGCGGCACTCACTGCTGAAAATGCCCGGCCAAAATAATCAGCAAACCTCATCAATTGTATGTCTGGCTGCCCCTCGTATGATTCCTATTAATACAAAAAATCCATAAAATTCCGATAATTTCACCAACATTGAGAAACAAAACAAATTCAAATTGCAAAAGTAAAAAAATAAAAAATACCGAAATACTAGATAGAAAAGCGGCGAGATCATCAGCGTCAATCTTCGCGGCGGCCTCCGCCACAGTGACCTTAGGACTCTTGACCTTCTTCGGCTTATCCTTCTTATTGGCATCCGCAGGAATATTCTCCTTGGATTCCCCGTTGGGGTAATCCTCGTCGTCGTCGTCCACATTCCGATTCGATCTCACCGGGAATCCATCGTCGTCGTCGTAAAGCGATGAGGCGGCGCGTTTGGCGTCCAGAATGCGGCGGCGATCCTCCGCGTTCTTCTCCACAGCCTTGAAAACGCCGTTTTTGTCCGCTACAGCTCCGGATCCGTTGGGTAGGAGATTCGAGGACGTGTTTTTGCTTGCCTTGGTGCGCTTCTTGACGTAGGTGACCTTCTGCCAGCCATGGCTGCTGTCTTCGCCGCGGTGAATCAGCTCGGAAAATGACTTGTCTTCTTCCATTGGAATTGGGGGAAAATTTGAGAAATTGGGGAAATTGAAATTGAAAAATTGGGATCGGAGAGGAAGGAAGAAAGAGAGCTGATGGTTTTTGGAGAGCGGTGTTAATAAGGATGGTTGACTGTCAACGGTACCGGAATTGACCTCTGGATTTTGCTACAATTACGGGAATACCATCAGACGAGTACACCAATCTTTGGCCAATGAAATTGTGCCATGTCAGCATCCTCGGCCCTGATGCCCAATCCCAGTTGTATGTATGATTCACACTCGACTTATTACGCTCCTGTATGACAGATGGGACCGTATATCATCCTTGGGCCATCTTCAATAAAGCCCAATTTTTAATTAGGGTAAATTACACTTACACCCCTGAAGATATGTTCAAATAACTTTAAGGTCCTTGTGGTATTGGTAATTACAGCCACGTCCCTGAAACAATTACCAGAGCCAAAGATTTCATGTCGCGTGGACCGGTGTGCACTATATTTGTTTTACGCGGGGCCGTTATAAATTCTTAAATAAAATAATTAGGATTTAAGAAATATTGGTGGAGCCATATCACCCCTAACTTTATGTTGTCTCGACTATTTCCTGAAACTAATAGTTCGCTAGAACTCTAATGGAATAATTTATCATATGCATTATTTCATTACAGTTTCTAACATTGTTTCAGGGGGTCATTGTAATTACCGATACCATAAAAATCTTAAATTTATTTTAGCATATCTCAGGAGTGTATGTGTAATTTACCTTTTTAATTATTATAGAAAATACAAAACTAAGGTATGGACCCTATGGCTGGGCCTGGTTTGAGAATAGTGATATGATTGATAGATAATATGGTTAATTGCACATTAACCCTTAAAGTATGGCACTTGTAACAGATGTCCCCTAAAATACCGATTGCAATACATGTCCCCCTTCATTCATTAAAAGTCAAGAAATGGTTTAAAAATGCTGACATGGCACTACAAATGTACTCTTAATATAGTGGTTGAATATTCTGAATCAAAATGGTCCTCACATCAATTGGATTTTAAATTTAATACCATTAAAATTTATTCATTTGATAAGTATATATGAAGTTGAACCTCATTTATGTTTGTATAAGTATTTTTTTCTTAGATTCATTTATATTTCCTTGTTATTCTTGATGTGTTAACTTGATTGTCTTATAAGTTATAACCAACAACTGAATATGTTAATTGACTAGGATGAACTCGAGAGGAGAAATTTGTAGTTACAATTTGAGAAATATTACTTACGGTTGTTGATCTCGAGAGGAGCTTCCGACTTTTAGGTAGCGTATAAAAGAACTTGCTTGTAATGCACTCTTAATATGAGATTTTAGATAGAAATGTTGAAATTGGTGAGTGAATTGTAATTTTTGGGTTAATGAATTCAGAATTGAAAACTGATATGATAAATTAGTGTTTTGGGTTAATGAATTCAGAATTGAAAACTAATATTTTATTTTTTAAGAAATAGTAGATATTATTAGGCTAAAGCTGCCAGTTCAGGAGGAAGAGAGGGACCCTCCAAAAAAAATAAATTCAAAATAACTCGCGAGACTATGAGCGAGATTATTACAATGCCATTTCACAGTCGAAAAGAGACAATTATGAAAAGAAAAAGAGATAAGCCTAATATCATTGAAAACTGATATTAACGTAACAAATTAACGGTCCGTGAGATACTACATATGGTGTAACATATCTTATATTATGATAACTTAGTGTTTTGGGTTAATGAATTCAGAATTGAAAAATGATATTAACGTAATAAATTAACGGTCCATGCATGAGATACTACATATGGTGTAACATACCGGGTGGTTTTGAACCGCAAATCTATATAAATAAGTGTCATCTATTTTTTAAGCATATATACACATGAGTGCATGTGTTATTATGTATAGATTAATAGTTCAAAATCATTGAGTGTTTTGGGTTAATGAATTCAAAATTGAAAACTGATATTAACGTAACAAATTAACGGTCCATGAGATACTACATATGGTGTAACATATCGGGTAGTTTTGAACCGTAAATCTATATAAATAATTGTCATTTATTTTTGCATATATACAAATGAGTACGTGTGTTATTATGTATAGATTAATGGTTCAAAATCGGTATCATCTACAAAAGCAAATCAACACATGGGAAAAACTAGCATGTACTTTCTTCCAATATTTACTTTATTGTATTTATTGATAGTTCATTAACCATCATTGGAATTCGATCGTTGATTAACCATCATCATAATCACGTAGTCTAGACAACACTTAGGATAATACGATTACACTATTTAGAGAAATTAGGACATATTGGTCCTTCGTGACGATATTTGGAATTCACTGTTGTATGAATATGATGACGTACACGAGGGTTGGGTATTGACTGATTTTATCGACCAATTGATCCACTTTTAACCATTTGCCAATAATCAATACTTAACTGGCTCATATAGCCGAACCACTATTTTTAAACGATCCATGTATAAATGGGTCACTTGGCGCTTTTCAAATTTACCGATTGTTATATGATCAATCGACTTTTTTGATAATGAAATTTTGTAATAAAATATTTAATTGTAATTAATTTAAAAAGATATTGATAACTGTTTTTTAGTTGAAATCAAAACATAAAAGTTAAAATAATATTTAAAAAAGTCAAAACTCAAAATACTAAGTCATCGAACCATACGTGCTATATTTATTTTCCAATTTCCATTCCTTGCTCTCCTTTATATATTTTGTTGGTATAATTACACTTTTAGTCTCTATATTAATAGTCTAAAACGAATTTCGTCCTCAAACATTGCTTTCCACGATTTTAGTCCTTAAACTTACGTCTTTTGACAATTTTGGTTCAGTCGTCAAATAAGGCTGTTAAGTTGGATGGAATAGTCAGTTATGCCTTACGACGTCCACTTGGTAATCATTAAATGAGTTGGAACAGACCCCTTCCACATCATTCTCTCCACCTATTTTTCTCATTCAAATCCTTAATTCCTCATTCCCATAAATACTAGCAAACATAAATAATAAATTTCATATTGAGGTGAAAAATAGCTAAATCACAATCGCCCCATATTGAATGTTTTAATATCTCACAATCGAGCATTGTTATTCAATTGACATTTAACAGGTATTTATTTTATGAACTTATCGAAATAAAGGAATGCATTTTTCTTGTAATTTTTCCATGGTCGAACATCAATTGTCAACTTAATTTTGGATATTAATTTTTTTATAAATGAAGTGCTCCTTCCGAGGAAAGATGTGAATAATCTTTGAATTTTCACAATTTTTTTCTCTGAACACAAATTTATAAACGTTACCAATTAAATGTCTTACATCTATTTATGAACCCTAAAGCTTGGATGAATTTTGAACAAGACAGTTTTCATAACCATTAAATGATTGATCAAACTCTTGAAAATGTTTTTGTCTTCACAAAATGACTTACCAGAGTGCAGATAAAACATGTACTTCAATTCACCACAACTTTGGGGATATATAGATGGAATTTACGATTGTTAGGGTTTATGAAAAATAAGAATTATGTATCCGGGCGAGGGAAAATGGTCGAGATAAGAGAGGAGAGCTAGCATGAAGAGGATACATCTGTTCCAATTCTTTATGTTTTGCTGCCAAATGGACGTCACGTGAGGTACACATGACGATTCCATCCAACTTAACAGCAAAATTAGACGGCCAACCAAAATTGTCAAAAAATTGTCAGTTTGAGGACTAAAATCGTAGTGGAAAATGTTCAAGGACGAAAATCGTTTTAGGTGATAAGTACACGGACCAAAAACATAATTATCCCATGTTTTCTTCTTCTAAAAAATACTAGAAAACTCTTATTTTAAGGTTAAGATTTTTTCACATAATATTTTTTCAATATTTTGAATATTTATTTCATAAATAATTATATAGATGATAATACCAACCAACCAACTCACTTTGCAACTGTATAAAATCGTTCGTTAACCATTATCGGACCAACAATGGTTGGACCAATAATAGTTTTTGTTGGTATCGGACCAACAATGGTTGTCGGATCAATAATTGAACGATAACTACCCCACCTAATCCAGACCCGTCCTTACCGTACATTTACAATTTTGCATGTGGGTATTATGCCTATCAATTTTTTGGCGCCGTTGTTTCATTTAAGCATGTTTCGTCTAGCCCTAATGAAGTTCTGAACCTCCATTTATAATTGCTTTTTGAAAAATTTCTGATTCAATCAGAGTGAACTGAATAGAATTTCTGATGAAGCAATCAACCTCAAAATGTTTTCATTCTCAACTTGTGATAAGACAAAGAGTTGGTAGCTATGATCAGATCTCGGATCCCTCACTAGTTGTTAAGAGTTGTCTCAAACTTTCGTAAAACGATTCTTTTCACATTATGTAAAATATATAAATAGAAGGGAAATTAGCCAATTCAAAAAATTCAACCTTAAGCCCATGCATATGGCTTGGGTAAGATTCAAAGAATTGCCGCATCAATGATACCACATGGATTTGAGTCGTGGGATCATAACGAGATGTTCTACAATGAGTTCAATCACCAAGCATGTTCACTAGTTGATGCATAAACGTGTGGATTAATACATAACAAAAATCCTAAAGTTGGTCGACTAACCCTCTAAGTGATGTGTGAAAACACATACACTCACAACCATTTAAAAATAATGGAACACAAAAGACTGTAGGTGTGACAATAGGTTTGATTTTTGCAACGTCTTTAAAATTTCTGAGAAGCTCTTCTGATCCATGCTTGTATTTCAAAGATCCTGTTCAAATTCCTATATTTTTTTATGCTTTATGTGGATGACATGTTAATTGCCAGTCCTTGCTTAAAGACTATTGATATTTGATCATGTTAAATCTTGTCTAAGTGATTTTTGATATGAAATTTTTGGGTGATGCAAAAAGAATCTTAGGGATGGACATTGTTAGAGATAGAAAACATTGTTCAATGTTTATCAATCAATATTCCTATGTGGTAAAGATTTTAGAAAAGTTTTCTGTGAATGATGCTAAACGTGT